GTATGCTCTTGTAGTCGTTGAGCGGCAGTAAATGCAAGAATGAATCACTAGCGGGTCATACTCTCACTTATCACTGACACCCGCCAACTTTGGCGGGTCATAATTTTTGATGCAAAACCATTTGAACGACGCAAATGGCATCCAATGAAAGAGGAGATCTTGCGCTTTTTGATGGACCAATTACATCGACGAAACTCGTATTATTAGAAAAATTCCGCCAATCCAAAGTCAAATGTGACAATCATATCGGACCAGAGTAGTAGAAAAGAAAACAGTAACAGAAAACAATTTATTCCTCATCATAATTCATGTCCATGTCGTCCTGTGGATCGATGGTGTCGGCTTCTTGAAGCCTTGAAACCACGACCAGCTGGCTGAGATGGTGGATTAGTCAAGCCCGGCATCAATGGCCATCTCCAGGGCCATTACTTGGATCATCCGGGGTATCACAGGGAGACCATCAGTTCGCATGGACTGGACCCATTGAGCCAGGTACTCCTCAGTTGCCATAGGCAACGACGTGGCCATACCAACAGAGCGGGAACAGTGGCTGGAAGTCTTTGGATTAGTTGCTTTAACGTTAGCCCTAATGTGAACACGGTTTTGAGTCCATTGATACACCTTCTTTCTTGTTGAGTCAAGCCGGCAGCCAGTGTGATGCTGGTAGTACCGGGAGAGTTTTTCCGCCATACCAACCTCATCAAAGGACTGTATCGCAGCCCATTTCATCTCGTACGACGTGAGGTCGTTCCGAAACTTCTTCGGCTGCTTGGTGGGGCCCGGCTTGAGTCGTGGCCGGCCTCGTGGCTTCGTTCCAGCCCCTGGAACTGTTGGGGTGTCCATCTCGAATGGTTGTGACGTGCCGTGGTGAAAGAGCTCGCTTCTTGTTTTCGCGCGCAATTTACCTCTGAAAATCGCATTATCTCTATAAATTCATACAATATACGCTCCCTAGAGGTTTTATAAATGATTAGAGTATGTGTAGGAATACCTGTGAAATATTTTCCTCGTATCGTGTTTTAGAGTATTAGTTCATACAGGAACCCATAAAGTTTACCCCCTAGAACGACATAAGTACTGTAGGTACAGTGTAATACGGTAACGCTATCCCTTTTCAATACGCTTGGGTTGCTGTGCGGTGTCCTTTTTTGCCCACGAGCACATGTTCTCTCATGTCGCCATCTAAACGCATGAATCGCTCGACCTCCATGATCATATACTGGTGTTGGCATGTTACCAAGCCATGACGTGCAACCGTTATCTTAACCGTTTGAGCTGCATTGTTGGTCATTCTCTTCGCCACGTCGTTGGGATCGCGGCACGTCGCGCCATCTCAAGCACACAGCACAAAGGCAAAAATGACTCATCCAAATGGGCAAGTCTGCGAAACTGCTGATAGCTGGGACGTTGTAACACCATTCAAACATGTAACATCTTGGCTGCGACATCCGCTGAACCAAGTCACGACGACGGTTTCACACGAAAGTACGAGTGTAACCGACACCGTTACATCGATACACGGCGCCCCTCCAACTCAGGGACACCGTCAGCGCCGATATCTAGACACCACGTGATCTTTCTCGCCCATGTGCAAACGAATGGCAGCAGCAGACGACGACAGGTCATGGCAACCTGAGCACGTGTCGGCAATGCACGGATTCGAGGGGGTCGAGTGGGCGGGAATAGCCGGTGGCGGCCTGTCTGGATGGGGCTGCCATGTGGTCGGGCGGGTCGCGGCATCAATCAACCCAAGCGCTGCTGGCGACGTTCTCTTCTTGGAGGCGTCAAGCACTTGAGGTGCGTCCCTTGAAAGCAGAACCATGTTACTGGCATGGACAGGGCACGGCCCGTTCGAAATTCATATCATGATACGCCGCCCAGGTTACGAAGAGCTCCAGGCCGTGCGGCAAGTGCCACAGTCGACATTGCACAATGCAGGTGGTGGTCGCGATTGTTCGCTGCCATGTTAGTCGCGGAACTGGGAATTGGGTACATTGCTCGCACACATGGCGAACGAAAGGAAGTGTTTGGCCTTTACCGCCCCTTCAAATCACGCCGCCACCACCGTTGCCCATGCGCCTCGCACGGAGACGTCTGGTCCTAGCATCCTCCCTGTCTTCGTGTCCAACTTTCGTGCCGGACTCGAATTTGTGTCTGTCTCCTTCGACCCAGACGCAAGTTGGATCTTGACCAGGTCAGGTATTCGACGAGGTGGTTGAATGTCTGCATGGATTCACACACCGCCAACGTCGAACGAAGCACTAGTTTCGTAGCGCTCAGTTGGCTCCCGTAACTTGCTGCAGCCCACTGGGGGGCAGGCGTGGATTGCGTCAAGGGCAACCGCGAAAAGTGGACGAGACCGCGACCCCAGGTAGGTAAACATCCGCGACCACCCCAAGCAGTATCTAGATCGATGGTTTCACTCGATCCATCGATGGGAGTGTCCCATCATGCAACCATGGGACGTCCCCGATCAGAGCCCCCACGGCAGAGATACCACCAATGCGTGCAGCCGCCCCCCTCAGCGCCACGACCGTGCATTGTTGCCACGATCCATGGGCGTGGCCGAGCTACCACTGAAACCCGAACGACTCGAGTCTAACGACGACGGGCGACTATTCATTACCAGCCATTTCTCGAGAACGACCATCGCCTGTCTGTCGTCAAGGCCGCCGATAAGTTATGGAGTCACATCAACGGCACAACACATCGCACGGACGCCGCTTTCCCGCAAGCGAGCACACGGCGGCCATCGCGCTCGTGGGCCATCACCGTCCACTCTGGCTGCGCGACCACGGCGTGTCCGGCGGAAAATCACCCTGAAGTCGGGTATTTGGATTCAAAATAACCGGTTTTGATCTGGTCACGGCCTCAATTGCGTCGGTTCTGAGACGAAACAAGCCGGTGTGGACTCAATTGAGACAAAATTGAGCTTTGGAACTGATTCTACGTACCCCGCACTTCGCAGTTGGGCGCGAGAAGGGCACGTCCTATCTGTGCAGCCTGGTGCTGGATATGATGAACATAACCCATCCGAGCTTCAGCGGAATCAGCGCCAAAGGACACATGAGCGCTACGACGAGCAGCAGCATGTCGTCAAGTGTACCGAAGTTCCCTCTCCCAGACGACTACTTTGCCACACCCAACCTCACAGCCAACGAAGCTGACTTCTTCAACTCGGTCGCACGCAAATCGTGCACGAAAGTCATTTATTACGCGAGACCCACAGGAGGACCGGTTACTTGGATCCCGATCGCGTCGTCGCCCCACGTCCAAGTGTTCAGTGGGAAACAGTCGGGCGATTCATCGACCGTGGCGTACTTTTGCGCTGTGACGCAACTCCAGGCATCCCTCGACGATGTTGCGCGCGTATTTCGAACGGAAACGACAGCCAAGTACCGTGAACACGCGAAAACGTTCGCCCCAGACTACCTCGACTGCGCCACCCTGACAAACCTCGTCCTCCCCTCCGAGACTACACCGCTCCATTACATTGGCGTCAAGTGGGCAGCCGTCGAATCGCCGACCATATTCATTAAGCCGCGGGATTTTTGTTTCTTGGAATGCCAGGACGAGTTTGTCGATCGACGGACGGGACGCCGAGGATGGGTCAACTCGATGCACTCGGTCAACTGGGGCCAAGTTTGCCCTCCCATGGACAAATCGCACGGTCTTGTTCGCGGCTCCATCTACCGATCCGGTATAACTTCTTCTTTTACTCCTCCACGCTGTTTGAGATACCTCACCCGTCGTTCCTGCCACCAGGTTACGTATTTATCGAGTCGTCCAGGCCCAATTGCCTCGAAGTAGTCCACGTTCTACAGGTCGATATGAAGGGCAGCGTCCCTGCGTGGGTTATGAGCTCCATCATGAAGCGCCGCGTGATGGAAGTCGGTCGATTGCAGCACTTTTTTCGCGTCAAGACACTCGACCCAACTTCGTTCTTGCTGTCCAGCACCCAATCCAAGGCGAAAAAGTCCCGTGGTCTCCTCTGCCACGTATGTCGCACGACTGTACTCTCGTTTTCCCAGCGCCACCATTGCCGCAAGTGCGGTCACGTCGTGTGTAAAAAATGCAGCGCCGACCTCGTCGTCGACTTGCCCGACGTCGGGCTTAACAAGTTGCGCGTGTGTGCCGAGTGCACTTCGTCAAATCCAGGTTGGTGGAACAATGACAACTCCTTTGATCAATCGCGATGTCCGTGCGAGATTCGCCGACGATTGCTCTGCGCAATATCTGCGATGTCGCCCTTGGCTGGCACAATCGATGGGCAATGTCCAGTGGCGAATTCACAACTCGATCATAGGTTCATTGAAGGACCGATCGGTTGATGCAAGTGCCACCGCCGACGAATTCTGGGACTACGAGCCGCGTGCATTCAAGACTGACCGCGGTCAGTCCCAGGCGTCGACGCCTTCCAAGAAGCAAGGCCGATTTCAATCGTCCGACTGGTTCCTTAGCCACCGAACGGCACTCATGGCTAACCCGTTCCGGCCATCCGTATCCCTGTCATGCGATGCCGCCAACAGCGCGCTCGTTTCTGATATCGCCGACGCTTCCGTGGAAGTCCAAGAGGAATTGATGCCTGGCACATCCAAGTTCCCCGATCATTTTGTCCCGCGGACGTCCTCCCGCGTGAGGGCGTCTGGGCCGTCTGTAAGATCTCTCACAGATTCCATGGTCGGGTATTCATGTTGGTTAGGCACAACGTACGGATACGGCAGCCCTGAAGCGCATGCGGCAGACGCGCGGCAACCACAAACTCGGCGAAAGCTTTGGAATTGAGCATTTCAACCCGGACGACATTACCTTTCATAGCCTCGACCGGCCGTCGTCCATCATTCTCGCCGGCAACTCCAGCATGCGCCGCACGGCGTCGGCGATCGGGCGGGACGAGTGGACATTCAACTCGTTGATTGCCGTCCGTTCATCGCAACATGGAGGAGCAAGCCACGCTAGCAGTAGCCGCATGTCGGACGTGAGTGACCTGTCCATCGATGAAGACGATGACTCGAATTTTTACAACGATGGCGACAACAACCACGGGTATGCACCCATGCAAGTGCTCACGGAAGACGAGTTTGAGTCGTCTGTTGTGGGCATGGACAACGACGTCCAAGCGGCGGACCAAGCGCCACAAGCCCCCCCACCATCTCCTGCAAATGACCAACCCCACATTGTTCCAGTCGTACCTGCCGTTCCCCCACAACCTGTTGCGACTCATCATGTGGCTACAGCGAATGCCACACCAATTGCATCGAGCAAGACACCAGGCTCAACCTCGGCAGAGGATGACAACACATGGCACGCCACATCGAGCAGCCGGAGGCGAGCCAAGCTCCTGACGCCACAGCCCCATCCATCGCAGCTTGGAAACTCGTCGAGACAAAACCAATTGTCCACTCCAAGACAGGCAAAGCAACCGCACTCTCTCGTTTCCGAGTCGTTCGCGCGCCCCTCCGTTTACGATCGCCCGCTACCGCCGACACCACAAGGGCCCACCCGCACTCGGTTACCGAGCTCTCACGGCCATCGACGACCGTCGTCTGCTTATGGATCCGAGGTCTCGCAATCGTCGAGTGGCCCCCGACGAGAGGCGACGAGGGACGTGAGCCCACCGAATGGAGGAACGAAGACGTCGGCAATGACACCGAATATCGAGGACTTTGAAAAGGACAAGCTGGATGCGCTGGCGGCGCAGCTCGCGGAGCGACTCATGCGCGCCGATTCGGTCGACAAAGACACGATTCGATCGACCCTCGTCGAAGTCCTCAAGGCGCAACCTCGACAAGGAGCGGCTGCATAGTGTGCATCGAGAAAAATATGGGTGTCTGTCATTAACGTAAGAGTATTGTGTTTGCAAAAGAGACGTGGCGTTGCAACGGGGTTCCCCGCCTAGCAGCGCAGAAACAAGCGCTCGTTCTCGCGAAGGTAAACTTCTGTGGCGCCTCTTGTGTGCTGCTCTCCGCTCCTTCGTCCAAATCCCCCTCCGCAGCATCACCCGGAAAAGTTCACTGTCTTCACGTTCGTGCATGTAGAACGTAGAACGCGACACCGATCCGGCGCGGCATCAACTCATGCGCCCGCTCGGTGCGTCGTCGGAACCGCCCCTGGTCGCCAGCGATCGCGTGCCACGTGGCTCATCCATGCATGATATCAACCATCGCCACACGGTGAATTCCGATGGATGTTCATCATGCCGGAGTGCTGTCGTCGCCGTCCCTCACGCGTGTCGCCGGTTCGACACGTACCATCGGGCGGATGCATCACAGCCACACACACACCCCGCCGACGACGAGGTCGATCTCTCTTTCGTTGCCGTGCACGCCACCACCCGTCGTCGTCACTTCGACAGGCGGCACCTCCCGTCGCGGTCGTGTGTGTATATGCAATAAAAAAACATTCGAATTTCCCCCAAGAGCCCTTATGGGAGTTTCACCACGTTGTCGGCCAGTGAACGTTCGGACGACGCGATGCCGCTTGCGAAGCAGCGGGAGGCGCTCAAGCAAGCGGCTCGGATCCTTCGTGGCACCCACGCGGCGACGAACATGCCACCGCTGGACGTGCACAATGGCAAATCGACCGACGAGGACGATGCCGAGTCCCCGATTGTCGGTGCCGTCACACTCTTGCGCAAACTCCACCAGCAGTGCGTCGACCACGACCGGAAAGAAACGATCATTGCACTGCACGACGTCGAGGTCCTTCTCCATGCACTTGATGAGCTCGTCGACCCTGACACACCTGTGTACGCGCGTGAGGTACGCCCACGATCGATCTTGCCGTTGAAGCCCACGACGGCCGGAATTCTAGGCGGAACGATCCCTCCACCGCACGTTCTCGTCGAATCGCAATGTGTTTGACGATAAAGTCCAAGGCTTCATCAACCAAAACTACTCGAGCAAGGCAGGATGCCACCGTCCGTCCCAAAATCCACTCATATGGATCGAATAGAACGAGGATTCGCATGGCAACTTCCGCGTGGCCTTGCGACGCGCGAGTCTCGTCCAGCGCTGCATCAAGGCGTTCAAAAGCAGCCCACGGGCGCGATCTACGTCCTCCGATCCCGCCTTGTACGTGCTTCTTATGAATCGCGAACGTCAACGTGTCGAATGACGACAGCACGGCGGTCGAGTCGGCGGGCGATGCGGAAATACCAGGAGCAGTACCGCTTGACAGCCCCGACGCGAAACTTCGAGTGCTGGGCGGCCGAGCAAGTGCATTGAACATGTTGATTGGCGTCGACATGGAAGCCATGGCGAAGAAGGAGTTGGCAAAGATTTCGACATGGACGTTTAACGTGTTGGAGGTATGCCACCATCCGTCAGAGTTGGACCGGGTACTCCATGGCCGCAACCCCCATGTCAACGGCGGTGGATGGAGTCATGGCGACCACCAAATTGATCGGCACGTACGCTGAGTGCTCATGGCACGGAGTGGTGTAGCTGTCAAAGATGCACATGGACGACATTCTGTTGATCGTGGGGTGTGCTTGTTTCGACGCGGAGAACATGTGCAGTCACTTTTCCATTCCCACAACGACGTTGCGAGCGTTTTTTCAAGGGTATGTTGTCGACGGGTTGTCGCGAATCGTGTGGTTGCTGGCTTTGGTCGTGAGACCAACAACAGCGTTTTGCTGTAGCATCCAGGGCAAGTACCTGGCGAATCCGTACCATAATGGTAAGGTATCGCCCCACGTACCGTCTCGATCGGCGACGTTGCTCATGGGCTGACGCAAGTTCGTTGGTGTAGCCGAGCACGCCGCGGACGTCATGCAGAGCGTACATCACTTTTTGACCCTTGGCGGGTTGGGGACGATCATTTCGAAGCGAGGCCGCCTTGCGACTCTGGTGGCGGCGGCCTGCCATGACGTGGTCCGTGTCCATATAGATCATTTCCCCTAACGTCTCCCATCAATTCACAAGCTATGGTCAGGGCCACACGGGCTACTCCAACAATTTTCACATCAACACAAACGACCAACTCGCCATCCGATACGCGTACCGGTCTCCGTTGGAAAACATGCACTGCGCCGTCGCGTTTGAGCTGCTGCACAGCGCAGAATGCGACATCTTGGCCACCCTCAGTGACGTCGAAGAAATCGAGGTGCATCCCCGATCGACCGGCCGTGGTCGCTCATTCGGGTTCATTAGGTTCGCAACTTGATCATCGACATGGTGCTCGCCACCGACAACAAGTACCACTCCATCTACATGGGCCGGCTCGATGGCATCTTGCAAAGGTATCTAAATATCCCGTACCAGTAAAAGGCTGACATGCTCTCCCAGTGTTGACGACGAACGCATTGACTTGAGCAGCCCCGACGACCAGAAGCTCCTGTTGCAGGTTCGCTGTCTTCTTTGGCATACCGTGGCAACTTTGCCCGTTGTCCCAGCGCAATTATCCTCACTGGGTCTGATGCAGGTGGCCCTTCACGCTGCGGACGTGTCCAACGCGGCCAAGCCGTGGGCGATTTACGAAACGTGGACAGCGCGCATCATGACTGAATTTTACGCGCAAGGTGACCAGGAGCGTGCATTGACGTTGCCGATCAGCTTTGGCTGCGACCGTCAGAACCCGATTCCCCAGGCCAAGATGCAAGCGGGGTTCATCTTGGGGATTGTCAAGCCCGTGTTCCAGACCCTCAGTCGTGTGCCGAAAGTCGACTTGAAGAATTGCCTCGACCAGCTCGACCGCAACCTTAATGTGTGGCAGGACCAGCTCGCCACGACGGCCTAGTTGTGCCGTTGCTCCGTTGTCGCCCTCTGTACCTGTACCAATAACTAGAGTGTATATTAATCGTCCATCACGACTTGCCTTCGACGCTTGACGTGGCGCGACGTCATCTCCTCGTCCTCTCCGTCATCGGCGTTGTCTTCTTGTCGAGCAGTCGCTGGCACATCGTCGTCGTCGTCGTCGTCATTGGTGTCGTTGTCTTCGCCAGAATACAAGTTTTCAATGTCCTTTGAAGCATCTTCGTCTTCCGTGTCTTCCACAACTTCGTCGTCGCCAGTTTTTTGGTCTGGAACGTCATCATGATAGACCCCCTCTGCTTGTGAAGTTGTCCGCCGGCCGCCCAGATGAAACGGAGCGCCACCTGCTTCGTTCTCCGATCCCCCGTCGTTTTGCTGATCGTGGTCAAGAGCAGGCAATATAATTCGAGACACTTTGTCCGGGTTGAGCTTGAAATCACGCGCTTGACGACGCACACACCATCGAGTAAAGTTGACATTCTACGCAAAGGAGGTGACTGTCGCGCCACAATGGATGTACCTGGTACTAACTGACCTTGCACAGTTTAGACAACTTGATTATGACCACGTCGTACTGTTCGACTTGGTAGATGAGGTCTGGAATGAGCTTGGCATCAGGGTGGAGCTTTTTTGGTTTCTTGGACGATCGGGGCGTCACAGCAGCCTTGCGCTTGTTTTCTTCATGATTGCACGCGATGAATTGCAGCACCTACACGATGTATTTACCACACACACACACACATTAAAAAAGCCACCTATCAAAGCAAAATTTCGATTGATAGAAGCGTACCAATGGCGTTAAGTGACGGCTTGTTGCATCCAAAAATGCTCGACTGTACACGTGCATCTTGTCGTATTTCGACCGCAGTTGGCGCTGCACAATGGCCGTGCTGACTTTGTATAGTCTCACCATGGTGCGAATCACGCGCGACGTTATTGTGTGGTTTGGGAACGACGTCGACATGAGGGGGGCGCAGCATTCTGCAACCAATGTCAGTTGGTTGTATAAGGTTGTTTCAACAGCTTCGTCCATCTACACAACACGTCGGGTTGCCTTGCCTTCCACAAGAGAAACGTACAACTTGTGCGGTGCCTTGAGTTTGCCGGCGGCTTTTGAGCTTCAATCCCACCTTCTCCATTGCGTGTTCCAATGATTCAAGGAGAAGATGCGTGATTGGTCCCACGGTTTTCACCGTCATGCATGCCAAAGTGGGCTCGGCGTTTGGCTGGCCTTGAAGGTCGTCGGGGTTGTCGCCCCCATCCTCCGCACAGAGGAATCGCCTAATTGCGCATGCAAAGCGCAGCCAATTCGCCGGCAACTTGAGCAAACTCTGGACAAAGAGCATGACAAGGGGCAAATACGACACCATCGACTGAGACGAGCACACAGCCTCCATCCATTTCCGTGCGCGCTCAGTCATTTCGACTGAGTATGTCGGGAACACATGTGTGGTTAGCAAACGAAACAAGAGATGTGCTTCGACAGTTTGGTCGTTGCGAATGAGGCCAAACACTTTCTTTTGAAGCTCGAGGCCAAGCGATTCGGCAGTAGCTTGGTTGGCAACTCTGTCCCCGTCGATCAGCATGGCTCGAAGAAGCACGTCAATTTGTGGTGCCGTCGCGTCAAAGATCATTCCAATGACAACGTACGCGACAGATTGAAGGGATTCCGCGACCTGGGCTTTCGCAGAGCTGTTGGTGGCCTGCCTCTTCTTCTTGGCAGCTGTCAACGACACAGACGTCGGGGGTTGCGCGACCGCGTGTCCTGCCAGTATTTCCTCGGACGCTTTCCAGAGCAACGCCACCAACTCCGTGAGAAACTCTAGTTGCATCCGCGGCGAAAGGCGAAACATCGTGCTGGATTTCTTTGCTTGGAGCCACGTGAGCGACTTTTGGTCCAGCCATTGTCGCATGAATCGATGGGTGAGTTCGAGGATGCATTGTTGGACCATTGGATCGTTCAAGTTCGAATCCACTTGGCGTACCATCGACTGCAGCACAATCAAGAGCGATCGATGGTGAACACAATAAATCGAACCGTCGCCAATTGTACGGTTGGACAATGCGGTGGGTTTCCCCGTCCTGTCGCCGCTGGTTTTATCACCTTTCGACCGCTTCAAAGAGCCACTGGGTTGTTGCGCAGCTTGGTGTGCTTTAATCAACAGTGTGACTTTGTGGCGTACTTCAATCAGCTTTAACCCATGCATTCGTTGCTCCAAGCTCAGCACTGGGCTATCAGTCTCAAGTTCCTAAAGCATGTCCATATTGTGAGGGTCATAAAACAAAATTGTCACAAACAACAGCTACATCATTCAATTCCGAGTATCATGCGATTATCTGCATATCAAACACCCAAACACGAAAAGCTCATCTCTCTTCGGCACGTACCCAAATGTGGTTGAGCGCGACCTCACAAAGTGTCACAACATCCTTAGCGCGAGCGTGGGTGGGTGATCCTTCGACAGCAATGCTCGTTTTGTCTAGTTCAAAGTCTTCCATTTCGACGTGCTTCATTCGTTCCATCACAGACACGGCAAAGTTGCTATCGCATGCCAAGATCGCATCCAACAAGAGGGGAATCGAATCGTCTTCTTTCAAGTACAGCGGTGGACTTAGCGCTTCGTTGGGTTCGATGCACGGTTGCAGATGGGGCACGAGGAGGTCCATCACAATACCGCACAGTCCTGGACACTGCTTGACCATGCGCTTCATGTGCACGTAGAGCGTTTCGCGAACAGGTCGTTGACACGTCAGCGCCTTGCGAAAAAGCGATGAGAACTGGCGAAACACACTCACAACATTGCCTTGCTCAACGTCCAAGTTGTCCATGTCGACGACCGACTGAGATTGACTGATCGGGACCTGGCTGGCGTGGTGGTTGCTTTTGGAATTGGGATGCTGCGTGAGGTAGATCGGGCGTGCGTTGTTGGCATGCATGGCACACTCCAAGACAGCGCAAAGTCCAACAATCGCGATCGTTCGAGATGGCGCATCGCGTTTGAACATTGCTTTTCGCATCGTCAAGATAAGTGCATTGCGAAGGTGGACTTTATGGCGCAAGAGTGGCCCGAGCGCAGTCAGGAGTGGTGTTGCCACCGCTTCTGGAAAGGACGGAATGTGCTCAATCAAATCACGCACACGTTCGAGCAGCGTCGCATCAAAATCAAGCATGCAGCTTTCGACTAGGATCCCGAGAAGTTTCACGGGGGCAAGTGCCAAGCTGTTGGTACAGCTACGTTCGGTGGTGACGGCAAACGCGGCCCAGTTCGTTGACATTTGCAGCAAGGCCGTGGTCAACATGTCCAGGACAGACATCCGCACGAATGCGTGTTGATGAAATGTGTGACGAATGACTTGAATGCCGAGATCCGTTGTTGATGTTGCAACAGAATGAGATGCCGATCGTAGTTTCAGGGCAGAATATTGAGATGAGGTACTGTGGGTGAGACAGACATACCCAACAGCAATGGTACTCGTAACCAGTGATTCCATTTGCCCTTGAGATGACGACGCAATCACATCCAAAAACATTGCCAATACTGCTTCTACGACAGAGTGAGTTTAGTGAATAGGAATTTCGCTTCATAGCCAAGTGGCTTCAAGCTCTATATCTTTTTCTGCATGTCAGTCAAGCACAACAAGCCAACTTTGAGAAATTTGTCGAGCAGCCAGGCCCAGCAACATCCACTCTTAACGAAGGCACCAAGACTTAACGCCGTCAAAGGTCTATTGCCTCTACACAACGACAACCAAAGCCACCAAATGAAAGATCTGTCGACAAACCTGGGTCAAGCATTGTGGTGAATGCCTGGATACATATTTTGTCGATGGTGAGCGCGAATTTGGTGTGAACGTGAAGCAAGAGGAGGACGGCAATGTGCACCGACGTCCACGACGATTCGTGCGTGGGATGCAGCAACTCTAAAAGCAACGACCCCAACGAGTCATCTTGGAGCACAAGCTTGTCCAAATGGTACAACATCGTTGCTTGCAACGACCGAAGTTCTTTGGCTCCATACTGCAGAATAGCAAATTGGTTGAGGCGGCGGTGACTCTCGACACGAGATGCGTCCTTAGACAGCTGCAGCATAAACTTTATCCAGCACTGCAGCACGTCACGCTTGAGCGTTGCAGACTTGTGTTGGACAAATAGTTGCAAGTGGTGCAATAGTCCTGGCAAAATTGAAAAGTCCGGCTGTGAATCTTGGTCCGCTGGCGTCATTTCGACGTCGATTTGGGCCAAGAACTTTTCACACAGTCGCTGGTGTTGGTCCAGAGTCAACCCAACGTCGGAAAACACACCCACGAGCTACGTGTGGAAAGTAGATGAGTGGTCATGAAAGGATTATGCATGGTCGACTGATGAGCTTGGGACATACCTGGCATACGAGGCGCTGGGGCCATCGAGCGGTGATAAGCCGACCCAGTGCTTTATTCACATAAAAGGCTCCTACAGGGATACAAAGAGAATGAGAGTTGTTTTTGCTTTTACTGTGATAGCCCTGGGCATTGAGTAAGATTTGCTACCTGTCCAAGGATCCCCATCACTAAAGTCCCACGTCGACACGACGGAGGAAGCGAGAGGGACGTTGGCAAAATACATCATACGACCAAGCAAGTGAGGGAGGAGTTCGACGGTGGGAATGGGAATGGGAACGCACGTCGCAGTCTCTTCTTGGTTGCGGTATGCTTGTTCGACGGAGAATAGGATGTGTTCAATGAGCAGCGGGAGACTCGCCATGTCCAGAAAGTCAATTTCTCGACGCAGGATATCCACTAACTGTGAGCAAAAGATGGAATCCCCTTTCCGCTGATTTACATGACTGTCCATCATGATCTTGAACAACTCGAGGACAAGTGTCCGTCGGCGCTTTTCCAATCGCACTGGGTCGTTGGTGATCTCGAGACCTCGAGTTGAACCACGGAACGTTCCTTTGACCAAGTCCAGGAGGTCCATAAGCTCTTCGCAGCGATACATGCGCTTTATCGAGTCGAAGAGGGTGTCATCGTCCAGTTCGTGGACTGTGTCTCGGATCATTTGACTTGACATCATGTCGTCGTCTTCAACAACGTCTATTCTTCTTGCATCCCAGTCGTACATGTCGGTTTGTCGATTCAACTGTCGTTGCTGCGCCATCACGCGCTGCACGCGCGGATCAAGCTGCTCCATTTTCGTCCCGCGCGATCAATTTAAATTCCGAGTGGCGCGCAAACACCGATTAAGTACACACGATACATATGCTAAGTGCGATATCGGTTGCCATGATTTGTTAGGAGAGAGTCCAAATTGCTGCCAGAGCCACAGAATCGTCCGTGCTACGGGTGATTGCTCGGACAGGGAATGCCACCAGTGCGCAGCGACGCTTGTCTGGCGCCTTCGATGCTATGGGCTAGCTAAACGTCCTGCTCGCGAGCTACAAAGGGGTTCAACACACTTAGTTTGTCTACTGGTCACAGGATTTGAGCCATTCACTAAAGTACTCCTTTCTATTTAAGTACCTTGTTGGTTTTCACTGGTTCATGTAAAACGCAGTTTTGATTTTGCGACGAGGGGTCCATGTCCACGTGATGTTGCTAAAACCAAGATCTGCTCTGAATTCGATTGAGGAGACACCCCTTCACTGGGAGTACGGCACTGATGGACTACAGGTTGTTGCGTGTGGTAGTGCCAACCGAGCCTGTTGTGTGTTGGCAACGCGTCGAGTCAATTGCGTGCGCAAATTCATGTGATGTTGCAAAAACCAAGATCTGCTCTGAATTGCTTTGAGGAGACACCCCTTCTATGGGAGTACTGCACTGATGAATTCACGACGTCGATAGTTGATCAAACCAAGTAGGGTGACACCGCGACCGGGTGTGTTAGGTCTGTCTACCTCGTGGGTTAAGGTAGCCGAGGTGTGCTCTGTTCACGTGATGTTGCAAAAACCAAGATCTGCTCTGAATTTCGTTGAGGAGACACCCCTTCACTGGGAGTACTGCACTGATGAACTGCCGCCCGGCAAGCTTTGCATTCGAGTCCAACGATTCGTTTAAATACCATGTCCAAAATATACAAACATGATGTCCCAGTCTTTTCACATGGCGGATGTGCTGTAGGTGGGCAAACTATCACGTCGTTAGAGCACGTTGATCGTGAAAAGCGTTATGGACGCGCCGTCGAAGAGCGGAAACACTAGCCACCGATCTCGGTCAACGAAAAACCACACATCAACGCTGCTACCTTGGTTGCGAAGGAAGATGACGCCCCACGTGAACGTAGTAAACCACAGGTTGGTGAACTGGTTCGTCTGGTACTTTCGAATGACAATCGCATGGGGAACTGGCAGCAGCCCGACCTGAACATGCTCCATAAATCATCTTGATCATTATCTTTCTCGCGCAATTGTTCATGGCGTACCATCGTCGTGCCACGGAGGAACCCGAGCATCGCAGCTTCGTCCAAGCTCCCGCTGGACGCCTGCTCGCAAGCCTGTTCAAGCTACGAATACATGAGCTATCCACACATATCCGCCTAGTCGACAAATGAATAAAAGTCATCTCACTTGAGGAACAAGATACTGCAACAGCCGCAACGACGTGTTGATCGGGAGTTTCTTCTTCCATCCCTGGAGCCATTCTTCCGTTGGGGTGAACTTAGCTTGAACGGGGGCGGGCGGCGCTTCGTCTTGGTCAATCGGGGCATCCGTCAGCGCAGTAAGAGCCGCCACGGACGGCACAACGTCGACATCATCAACGCTGTCCTTGGACGGGATTGCTTTGGGGGTGACCGACACGGCCGTCGAGGAAATCGGCATTGACAGCACGCTCAATTTCAGGAACAAGTCTTTGTTTTGAACCATCGCGTACACGAGTTGCTCGTTGCCTGCATGCGCAAGCACACTCGGTGTTAATGAGCTCGTGTGGAAGCGGGGTGCACGAACCTTCGTACTGGTACTGGATCAAGTTGTTGAATGTATCGAGCAAGAAGAAGACGAGATGGTGGTTCGCATCGTTGTCGAACAAATAACGAGGCTGCGAAAACAACTTGAACAGACGCAAGAGCCGCACGCTCGACACCATGTTGAGCTTCTTGATATACGGCGAGATGTTGCTCACGATGGTGAGAAAGCAGTTGTAGACCGAGTTGAGCTTCTCGTAGCCGTTCACAATCACTTTATGCAGACATACAATTAACAGGTCCGCGTGGTTGCCGTTGAAAGGTGGCAGGTCCAGCGGCAGCTTCAAGTCGAACGGTTTGTTCAAGTTGACAGCAAAGTCGCGCTCGCCACTCAGGAGAAGCAAGATGAACGTGCAAATGTGAATCATCCCGACCTGGACGCGAGTGAAATGAGAAAGCGGTAGACCAGGCAAGGGGCTGATAGAACGCGCGGGCCAAACATACCTTGGACGGCTCCTTGCGTCCTTCGTACATGAGAAAAAGCAACGGGACGACGATTCGGTTCATGTCGGCGCGTTTCAATGTGAACTGAAGAAACGCCTTGTTTTCATCGAGCAACTTCCACAAGAGCACGAGCAATTCCTACACAGTCACCAAGCATTCAACACCCCAGGGCATTCATTCTTGAATGGGTAAATTCATGCCAACACCACGAGCGTCGACGCCTTACCTGATGGCATTTGATTTGCTTGATCGAGTTGGGTAGCAGCGTGTTCATGGCCTGGTGGTAATTGTTCAGCAACTTGGCCAGTCCATTGAAGAGCAGCTCAAAGTCCTCCCTAGCATTTTCGCGACGATTTAGCCAAATCTGGAAAATCCAGCATCCATCCATACTCGCGCTGGATCGAGGACAAGAGCGCGCGGTATTGATTATTGGAGTCAAAAGCGGCAAACGAGTCACCTTCAGGCGCGACGTTTCTTGCGGGTGCGCCGAAGTCCAGCAGGACGAGCAGCACCTACACCACAAAATTAGGTCACTCTGTCACGCAATGCGAATCTTGATATTGTGACGTACTTGAATAGAAACGTCAACGAGAGTCTCGCGTTCGTCGGCAACGATCGAACCAGCATACGGAACGCCCCACCCGACGGGGTCGTACAAGAGCGTAACGTTCACGAGGGAATAGAACAGTGTCGGGGCATGCCGTGACTCTTTTCGCGTCGCGTATGCAAGAAAAGGGTCCACGTACGCGTCGCACGAGTCTACATTTGTTCAGCATCAACTCCAACAAAGCACGGCACGTACCGGCGGTGTGGTATAAAATGCTGGAAAAGCAAGTAAGTAGAAGCTTGAGCACTTCTTTGCGGTTCTTGTCAAACTGGACGGATGCGACGGCCGACGCGTCGGGATACCCCACGCCATTGTACCACAACAATGGCGGGTACACTACATTCGCCGACGACGACGGTGCGGTCGAGAGCTGTTCGCGGAAGGCTTTGTAGGCTCCCGCAGACACCTACCACCGCACGATGATGAGGTGAAACGAATTATCAAGTAAAGGAGGGCACACAGTGAAGTCGGGAAGGAACAGGAGGCCAAGCATCGCGTCGACAAGTTTCTGTGCCAAGCTGAGCTGTGAGGTGGGGACGTCGACTTCTGACGATGCTTCAGCGGCATAGACGGTGGGTGGGGGACCCCAAAGAAGCTGCTGGACGAACTCATCGGATCGGTCCTGAAACGACGGCTAAGACATCGTGGCGACCGATAGATGGACGAAACCTCGAGGATGAACGGCATGACGCGCGTCAGGACACGGATGCAGTTGACAGCCTGGGGATAGTACTTTGGTAGAGGTGTTTCGACGATTTGGTGGAGTTGTGAAATGGCTTGGGTTAGCATCGTGCTGAGGTTGCCTTGCTGGTTTTGTCGCAACATGCGTATATCGTCAGGCTGGATCAGCGTGAAGATCTCTTCAGCCGTCGTGGGGATCTTCCATAGCTTATCCCAGAACTCAAGGTGTCGACTAGCGACCTCTTCATTGCTCAGCTTATACACGGACTCGCGGAACTTGCTCTTGGAGTCGCTGTTGCCCATCGCGTGTTTGCGCTGTCGCTGCTGATGTGAAAGTCACTCTCGACCGTGTATCGGCACGTGATTGGTACACTTGTTAAAACACTCGAGTTCTTGTATCGAGGGTAAATTCCACCAATCCAGTTACTCTGAATGTTTCATTTTAACCAATAAGATCAATTCGTGAGGTCGAGTTTCGTTCGCAACATCGGACGACTATGAACAGGTTTAATTCAACGTTTAACAATAGAACGTGGAATCCTTTGGATTCAAGGTTTTATTTGTAAGCATTGCGTTAAACCTATTTGTTACGTTGCTAAACCGATTTACACCACTGTGAGTAGGTAATACCTCCAATCACCCTAAAAAATATACTACATAGTAGGTATTTCGAGTTGAATCGGGATCTTCTCTCAAGTCGTATAACATGACCAGCGACGGCAAATAACTCAACAGTGGCTGAACTTAAGAAGAATCGTGTATGATTGATGGAAGTTTCTAGTATTATATTGTAACTAGCCAAAAGACGCAGAACCGATGGGAATTGAGCCTGCAGCACAAGGGCGTTTGGGAGCTTAGCATTTAACACTCTTTTTTAGCTGCATCTTGAACTCGTACTTTGAAAATCAGCGTGTCGCATGTTAACACACACATTATATTTTGCGTGGTCAAGTCTTTAAAGTATACTCTTTGGAACACTGAATATTTAAAATTCACAAAATGTATGCTACTTGACACAAAAGCGAAATGCGACGAGGTCAATTGCCTCGCGGCTTCTGCGCAGCCGCGTTCTTGGTGATGCAATGCGCACCACAACGCATGACGGCCACGAAACAAGCTGTCTCTGTACTACCTATCCTACAGAAAATTCGATGGAGGAGCACCGCCCATCGCCCGTCAAGGATGGACCAAGACTACGAGCACTCTCCAAGTAGCATGTATCGCGCAACAGCCATCAATGGGTCGGCAAGCACTGCCGGAAATCCAAGCGCTCGTGCAGGTACTACTTGGGCACTCTTCCCGAAACTGTTTGAGGCCCCCAACGTTATGATTGAGGTAAGAAACTTGCCGACGACGAATCAAAGCAGCGATTTCTTTCATCTTTGGCTAGTTTAAGTGCCCAGCAAATCTGAGCTCATCAGTAGCTGAGTTCATGGCTGTACGTAAGCTTTGTCATCTTGAGTGAGTTGTGCCAGCGGTGGTCAAAAATTGTGTAGCGCGATGCCGGAGCGAAACACGTCCATGTTCGCCGCGATGGAGTGATCGAGGTAGGTTTCAATGTGATCTGACGAGGGCTGAGGACATGCGTGGGTGAGAAGGTGGTGTGCAGCGCCACCGACATTGACGTAGTGCAAGGTGTGCTGGCTCCACTTGGACCCATCTATGCCAGGCCAGTGGTGAACTGTCCCAAGATTCTCTCGCGCGACGTGCGCAACATGATCGCCACCACTTTTGAGTACTGTCAAATTGCCGCAGCTTTCACGTCGCCGTACTTGGTCAAGTCGTTGGCGCACCTTTCAGACCATGGAGACAATGCAACGGTCGCTGCAAGTGTTGTCAGTTTGTGGGTATTGTCGCTCTTGGCTGGGTCGATGGTACCGCGACGAAGTGCATCGCCGCATCTCGTGCTGTCTGCAGCGACCGCTTCGTTCGCGCTCACTCCTGCAGTTTACTACGTGCTGTATTGCTAGCGCCTTCGAATCGTGCCGAGGACATCATGTCTACTCAAAAGATTTGCATGGAAAGTGGAAAATCGTCTGACCAGCTGGACTTGTGTTTATATGAGATGCAATGTCCCAATAATGTCAGGAGTAGTCCAAACACCGTTTTGATAAACAACATCGGCCAGGGTCGCCCCAAAGCGTTGCCAGGTCGTCGCTGCGCTGTAGGGGAGCAGCGGTTGGTAGTCCTGCGGCTATGGTCGCACCGCATGATGCTGTCCAGCGGATGCATCAAATACTTCAATATGTCACTGACGCTGGCTAGTACAAAGATGAAGTCGTCTCAGTTAAAGTCCCGCCCTGCATATACTGCGGGGTAAGGTGATAAGGGCAGGTTAGTTTGATGTTCTCCGCACGCCGTGGCCGACTAGGCAACGAGCTTTCACCTGCATTCCGTTCGAGGAGTCTTCGTCCCGTCCACGAATTGAACCAAATTGCCCGACTCGTCCAAGTATGCTGCGGTGTCATCGACGATTCGGATCTAGTTCATGCCGGAGGCGCACGTATTGGTGGACCGGAGCCATGCCTTGCAAGGAGGAGAGGTCATGGTGGTGTTTGTGTTCATTTCGCATGCCCTCGTGGTTGAATGGCGCGTCGTGTAGCTCTTCGGTCGCGTCACCATCAGCATGTACAACTTTACGTGGCACCACCAAGTCGAAACGACGCGCATATATGACCCAGGGTGCATCATCCTCTCGAATGCACACGACGGGAAAGGTGTGCCCTCTTGTCAGGACTGGCCATCGCTGTGAGCTCTGAAAACTCGGAATGCCTTTGGGTCACAGAGGCAAATGACGCGGTTTCTCTTTGGTGTGCTATATCAGGGCCAAGTCATGTGGATCGCATTCACCACACTCTCATTACACGGACCTGGTGTTCTTAAGAAGGGCGGGAAACCTCACCAATCTGCCCAAGCCGACGTGGTGTTGCTCGCATTCTTCTCGTATTTTTGGTGTAATTTGTACCAACTTGCAGTCGACGTGGCAGCCACGAGTTGTTGTGGCGCGCTGGTAGATCTTCGGATGGAGGATCGCGTACGACACAGCGGTCCCCACGGCAAGAAGTTGTGGCAAATTGTTGCCACCCTCGTGTTTTCGCTTGTAATGAACTAAATTCCATTCTGGATAGCCTGGATTCGCGCGCGTGCGCTGACCGGTAGGTCCATTCACCGATGGTCAAGCCAGTGATTCACGCCATTTCGAGGCGCAATTCGGGGTCATTTTTGCATCGAAGCAAATTTTCTGGTAAAAGTCAAGGGCATGGCCGCTGTCGAACAATCCACCTTGGTGCGTCCATCTCGAAGTTTGCCTCAAGTTTCGGTGAGCAAAGTATCGACGTCAGTCGCAGCAGCAACCGCTGCACTGGATGGTGCGTTGCTGGAATGTCGACTGCTCTCGGATCTGTGTTCTGCTTCAGCTCTTTCATCCGGCCATGGATCGACTCAGTGTGGCTGTTGAAGGTGCAGTCTGGTGAGGAGAATCATCTACACTTGTTTTCGGCTCAAGCCTGTCGTATCAATCGAACATGACGGTCATTCAAACGAGAGGGGGTATCGCATCGTGATCCGAAGTTGGTTCGTTAGACTTGGACGAATCTTCCGAAAAATTACGAAAATATTAGGTAAATTTCACCCGTTTTTTCTATTCACAGTTACGATCTTTGTAGCATGGAATCCACCGTCCTACTCGATCCAGCAAGGGATCCAGCAAGACCGCCGCGTCGTGCAGTAACCTCCACGTGTTGTATGCTTCATGGACTCACGGGTATCGCTAGCTTGCATTGCCGGCGTGCTTGATCGGTCTTGTCGCAGCATGTACTGTGGCATCCCTCGTGTCAGTGCACACTGTCACTCTTCGTCCCACCGCCACGAATGGAGGTCGACGCTCCAGGCAGGCCATGTCGCTCTCGGACCCCGAAACATCCACCATGGCATTCTCACTCCTTGCTGTTGGGGACTGGGGGGGCACTCTGGGAAAAGACAAAGGCGTCCCTGGCACTTGTTGCAAGTTGTACAACGGTATGTCGCTCCACCGTGGTGTTCACGTACATCTCCCTCACATCATGACGATAGGGGCGATTGACTTCAACAATCCACGGTACAAGGTTGATTTTTACGCTCAAGAATACATTGCAACGCTGTTGGCAACGTCTGCGGTCGAGCTGAAACCGCAACGTATCCTCAGCCATGGCGACAACTTCTACTTGAGTGGCGTCAGCACCGCCGATGCCAAGTACAGGATCGAGCAGTCGTTTGAAAACGTGTACAACGCGCCATCCCTCGAGAACGTCCCGTGGCTGAATGTGGCGGGCAACCATGATTTGGGCGGGAACGCATTCATTTGTGGGGATGCCGACGGCCACTTCCGCGAATGCGCATCTGTGGACGAGCTGTTGCGGTACTTGGACATTCGATTCGAAGCTCAGGCGAATTACACAAGCCCGCGGCACAACCGGTCTGCAGCGGTCATCGATTTGAATGCATCTGACAGGCAGGGTTAGATGGGTGCTGCGGGACCACTACTACGTTGACCGTGTGGCCAAGCATGGTACGAGCGTCGATATCTTCAACTTGGACACCAACCACGCCGACCACCACGGAGCCAAAGATGTGTGCTGTCAATGCTTTGGGTACTCTGCCAAGTTTGGACTGAACCAGAGCCTCTGCGACGACGCGCAGCGCGGCGACCTCGTCTGCTTGGGTGGTGATGTCGCCATGTTTGACGAATGTGTGGCCAAGATTGAAACTTGGGCGAGTGAATCCTACACACGTGCCATGCAGGATATCAAGGCGTCCACAGCAACATTCAAGATAGTCAACACGCACTACTCCCCTCATTATCACATGAACCGAACCAAGATGATGCAGTGGTGGGTGGGAATTCTGCGCGCTGGACGACCAATTCTAGCCGCGCCACAAACGTGAGGTTTTGAATGAGCTGCGTAGGTACGCATTGTGTCGAGAAGCAGGTGTGACGGCGTGGTTCAACGGGCACACCCATGGATTCAGCCATGACGTGGCAGAGTGGGGCACGCATTTCTTTTTGAATGGCGGTGGCGGCGGCTACTGGACGCGCAACTTGCCAGGCATCAATAATGGGCTTGTCAAGAAGTAAGGACTTGAGGCGTGAACGGGATGCGTTTCCACCTGGCTCACTGAAATTGGCTAGTCAGTGGCGCGTGGAGGGTAACCCGTACGGCTTCATGGAGCTGATCGTGTCGAAAGATTGGCTGCAAGTTCGGTTTGCCACATTTGACGACCAGTGGACGTTTGGCGGGCTGGACCGCCAGTCGACAGTCGTGGGCGGGCTCCAACGAGGACATTGCTGGTTCATTCCGAGAACCCATCAAGCGTCGAGTGGCATCGAGTGCAAAGGCTCAATAAATGGAGCTGTTGGCGCTCCCATGGAAGCGTAACAATGTGTAAACAAACCGATCCAATCGACCTTACTACACTCGAACGCAGCTGCACACGTCTTGACTCGTATTACTGTACCCTGCTGGAATTCGTTGCAAGCTGAACGAAGAATGTCAAGGAGATCACTCTCGAGTTTTTCGGTTGTCTGATGGAGCGCAGCAACGTCTTGCATGGTCACAAAGAAAACGTGCAAACCCCGAACCGTGTAGACCTCCTTCTCACGGAAGCCCAAGGCGCCGTGACAAATGGATGACAGCAAACTTGTGCCTGCCTCCGTTGTCTGCATCCAATGCCGTCTAAAGCAGGCACACATGGATGCAGCAATCAGCGTAAGGTGGCCCAGGCCATCTCGTCCATATTTGTGGCGGAGATGGCGCGCGCCACCTCAAGTTGAAGGCCGTTTCGGGCAGTCCATGGCACATTGCAACAGCAATGTGCGCATCTGCGCAGATTCAATTTGGGAATGTTGGTTGGAATAAATGTTGGTGGTTGGGCATACAATTTTCAAGTGGCATATTGTCAGCCAACAGATGCACCGGTTCTTTGCACTTCGGTATCATCGTATTAGCGCTTGTTTGAAGATCCCGCGGGTGGACGGTATTCTTTTTGGTTTGGATCAGGTCCATACGTTGATCCAGTTTAAATATTTCATCACGAAAAAAAATGTCAACCCAACCCAGTGAGAAACAGTGTCGCTCCTTGGGCTTCAACCTCGACCGCCGAACGCCTCATTACGATCTTTGCCCTGTCGTGGCCAGCCAGATGCGCACGCTAGCTATCTCCGCAAAGAAGCAAGAGGCTATTGGGCTCCTCGAGTCACAGCAGTCCACGGCGCCGGTACGTCCTTGAGTCACTGGCTGCTGCAGTGTGCACTCACATCATGTGGGTGGCAGTGGGTCGGTTCCAAACCGTTCGTCAAGCTTGGATTTGTCGGCGTATCTGCATGTGTGGCATTGTCGTATCTCTCGACGCATGGAGCCTCCCGACATTCTTCTGTCGGCACGCTGCCGTTGTCGCGAGTCGACCCGTCAACTGCGTTCGAAGACGACGAGAGTGTCGCCATGTCTTTGCGTGTGGGCAAGACACGGCTGGAAAACCCGGAGAAAGCGGTTCCACAAATGACATTCCTCGCTCTGGGCGATTGGGGCGGCACCCTCGGCAAGGACAAAGGGGACCCTGGATCGTGCTGCCAGAAGTACAACGGTTCGCTCCATGACGTCTGTCGTGAAAGTGTTCATGGATGGTATTAGGAGGAGTAGACACCCGACACACCCGCTACAAAGTCGACTATTACGCTCAAGTGCATGTGGCGGCGCTGATGGCGCAGTCCGCTGCGGAGCTGCATCCGAGCCGCATCTTGGGCCACGGAGACAACTTTTACTGGAACGGTGTCGGGACCGACGACGTCAAGTACCGCCTCGAAGAAACGTTTGAAAAAGTGTACAACGCGACGAGTCTTCAAGCGATTCCGTGGCTCAACGTGGCAGGAAACCATGACATTGGCGGTGCAACGTTTATCTGCGGCGAGTCGGACGGCAACTTTCGCGAGTGCGAAGACGAAGACGAGCTGCTGCGGTACTTGGACATCCGCTTCGAGGCCCAGGCCAACTATACAAGTCCACACCACAACAGGTACAACACCATGAGTCTCCTATGTCAAGGGTAAGCACAGGGTGGATGCCGTAGATGGCAACTACGCGGCCACTACTACGTCGAACGAGTCGTCAAGGGCGACGTAAGTGTCGAAGTGTACAACATCGACACAAATCACGCAGAGAACCATGGCGCAAAGGACGTGTGCTGCCAGTGCTATGGGTATGCGCCCAAGCTTGGTCTCGACACATGGGTGTGCGGCGACCCGCAGCCCGGCGACGTTGGTTGTATGGGAGGCAATGTGTCCTTGTTCAACGCGTGCGTTGCAAAGATCGAATCGTGGGCGGAAGAGTCGCTGACCCGCGCCATGGACGACATGAAGGCGTCGACCGCGACATTCAAGATCGTCAACACGCACTACTCGCCGCATTATCACATGGACCCTGCCAAGATGGAGAAATGGTACGATCATGTCATGCATCATGTCATGCGTCATGTCAATAATATACAGGTACAAGCTGTGTCGGGAAGGTGGCGTCGCCGCCTGGTTGAACGGGCACACCCACGGATTCAACCACGACATTGCCAAGTGGGGCACTCACTTTATCCAGAACGGAGGCGGCGGCGGTATTGCGACGTCGAATATTCCTGCCATGGATAATGGCCAGGTCAAGACGAAATGGGTCGTCGAGGGCAACCCGTACGGCTTTATGGAGCTAAGCTTCTCCAAGGACTGGCTTAAAGTCCAGTTTGCGACCTTCGACAACCAGTGGACTTTTGGCGGCCTCGACTGGAATGCCACTCGAGTTGGCGGCGTTCAGCGCGGTCATTGCTGGTTTATCCCGCGAACATTCCGCGAATCGCTCGGCGTCGAGTGCAAATCGTCCGTGAATGGGGCGATCGGCGCCCCGATAGACGACGACGACGACGACGTGAATGCAACAAATGTGTAGTTGGTTTGGATTGAGATGCCTTAACACGCGTCGGTGTCCATTCGTACGTGTTCGGTTTGTCCAAGTGACGGGTCCCAGCCATCCGTTCTCTCCAATCTGTGGTGGACGCAAATTGAGCTCACATGATGACAGGTAGCTCGTCTTGAACAGTGGTGGTCGTGCCCAGACTTGACCAGTTGGCCACGTAATGGTCAAAGTCCAAGTTTTCGGCCCACTACCGCCGGTCGACGGTCAGAAAGTCGTCGTTGGAAGCAGCCTTCTTCTTACGTGAAACATGTCGGTGGCCTGAGTTTCCCAGTCGGGCGAGTCAAAGTCAATGGCTGGTTCCGCCGGGGTTTGTCGCTCCGTGTCGTTCCCACATGCCTGGAGCGCTTTCTCGTCCATGTGGTTCCTAGTTTCACGTGACTCCTGCGTCCGTCCGTCTTCCACGTGTACATGTAGAGCTGCTTCATCCACTGCCGCTTCTTTTCCTTGCGCTGTTGGATCACTTGCTGCTGTCGCACCACGCGCGAGTGGTGGTATGCGCGGGGTCGGTTGGCCGTCGCCACCTACGTCGCCACGATCAACATACCAAGAAAACGACTCGAGAACCGAGTGGGGCTTCAAACGGGCCACCAAAACACCGGAGAACGATAAAAAACGGGAGGGGGCGAGTGGATCATGGGGATTGTACCGTGATCGGGTCCATGTCGGCGGTCGGGGCGATGACTTTGGACGTGACGGGGCGCCATCCGTTGTTATCCCACCGGCGGTACCAATTGGCGGTGTTGGAACCGCACTGGTTGGCGCCGTAGTACGCGTTGCCGACTCGGATGACTTGCTTCACGCCAATGCCTAGACGTACCACGTCAAAGTCAGCCTCCCATGGACGCGCCGCGACGTGTGTACCAGGTCGAGCTGGTCGAATATTGACGTTGCGGGGCCCAATGTGACGAGCTGTCGTGTAGTCTTTCGGGCTAAATGCATTCATATCGCACACAGCACCGCGAGTGAAGATCTTGTAGTAGATGGTCGGGGGGAACGCCGACCCGCCGAGTCGGAAGCGGACCTGCGCAGGGATTAGAGGACGACGGGAAGGCAGTACATCATCGCACCTGCGCGTTCGTTGACGCATCCAGCAACGACGCCTCGGAAGGGTTGATCGCGCGCAGCATGACCATGGGGTCGCCCGCGTTGCGGAAATGGATCAAGTCGCGGTAATATCGGTAGATTCGGCGGTTAGTGTAGCACCGCCACTTGGCCTGGATGCGAAGGACTGCTCGTTCACGGGGGGTGACGTCGCCATGGACAAGAGTCCGTTGAAAGAACATGCGCCACTTGTACTGAATCTACGATCGCGTTGACGAAGGCATGCCGACCATGACGGGTCACCTGCATGGCCGCGATGTGGTACATGGGATGGCGGTCGAGATGGTACCGCCAGTGGATTTTCCGCATTCTGTACCATGCCTCCATGCCGACGTCATGTCGACAACAAACATTGGCTCCATCTACCTGCAGCCGCGACGCGCAAAAGTGGCGAAAGTGCTCTTTGTCGTCGAAGTTTCCATTGTGGAGGGCAATGAACCGATGCATGAGGCTCATTTTCATCTTCTTCTTGCGGCTGCGCAGCAGCCCCTACGACGTGTTGCCGTTTACGATCCGCTTTGACACACACACAACGACGTGCACCTGCAACGATAACCGGGTCAGCAGCCCCCGCACGCGTTTCTAGACGAAGATCATGTCAACTTGGACTTGGAGTCGCCAAACCTGAATCACGATCGCCGCCAGGTGCTGTGCCCCCATCGGGTACTCCCATGGTGTCTGGACAATATGCTATCCCGACAAGTACTTGCGATGAGCCGCCGACCCGTGCCCATGTGGCGCTGTACCCACCCTTCGCTCCCGACGAGATTTGCGCATGAAGAGCGATTCCCACGGCTTCCCGTACACCATGTCACGTGGGTGCCGCGATTTCTCGGATGCATTCCGACGGACAAACGCGCTGCATGACCAACACAGCGATGTTTCACTTTGTCGTGGTGTGGAGACGGGGCGGCTGTACCTACCTCTGGTACCGCCCCGCGAGGGTGCTCAGATCCCGCAACTTCTTCTCGACGATGTTCTTTTTGCGCTCCTTGGCACTCACCATCGTGTCGACGTGCAAGGCCCACGAACGAAGGTGACGACGACCCGCGCAGTGCCGTCCAAAGTTGACGGAGCTAACTTTAGCCCGGACGATTTCCGACCGTTTTCAGCCGGTCATCGTTTCATGCGTGGTGTGTGCACCAAGCACGGTTGGCATAAGCGTTTACCGAGCTCTCGATGGATCGTTCAGCGAGCAGCATACGGATGACGACCTGCCGTAGTAGACTCTACGTCGGCCATGGATGGGTCGGAGCGCCCACCCCCCAAAACGCCCGTGCGACGCGGATGGAGGCATCGTTCAGTTGTGTCTTGGATGTCGTGGAGTGCAGCGACAGGCTGGTCGTGTTCGTTGGGGTCACAGCCTCCACAAGCACGGATCTCGATTCGACGCACGCATACGTGCGCGACACCGTCTTCCTTAGGCCACCGGTGGTAGCAATCGAAACTTGGAGAGGGCTGTCAAAAGGGACGTTTGCACACGATGTGACCGCTTGCTAAGCACTGGAAGAAACCACGAAAATGGAGAGAATCAAGCCCCCGCACACTTCAGCATACCCCCCCTGTCTCTCTCTCTCGACTCTGCGTTTTCCTCCGATGCCGTGCCGTCCGTACGTGGTCGTGAGTTGGCTGGACATGGAATCCGTGCTGCACTAGCAAACCGACACTTTTTCAATTGTCCGTGCAATTCAATCGTGCTTCTCGATCACATGGCTGTCTCACACACAAGACGGAGCTAGGTCGATTGTTCATAGATGAGGTTATGAGGGCCGCGGCGTCAACAAACAACGCTCGATGGGGACAGATCTCTGCCGAGGCAGTCTGGCGCCACGTTGAGTTACTCGAGGTAGCGGTGCACGAGCTCGTTGTACCGCTTCCGCAACATCGTGGGCTGTTCGGAGAGCAAGAAGTGCTTGGTGAGTTCGTACGTGGTAAACATGATGGCCGTGTGGGGGGCAACTCGTAGAAGGTTCGGCAGTGTCCCCCGATACAGCGCCAACACGCCTTCGTTTCGCACGACTCGGACCAGGCAATCCACCATGCCGCGGTACATTCGTTGCTGTCCACCCGCTCCAAACGCTTGCGCTTGCAACCGCTTCTTGACTGTGTCGAACGGGTACGCCACGATTTGGGCAATTGCGCCGGCAACACATCCCACGACCAAGTAGTCCAGCGTCTCGAGCGACTGCTTTTCCTCGTGCCAACGCCACGACGGCCATCGATGGCTTGTCATGTACACTTTAGCGCTTTCAAAGCACGCGAATTGAGTCCCCTCGAACGGAATCGATCCGAGTAAACCTGGCCCCAGCCCGCGGTACAGCCCTCTCATCCCTTCTGCCTTGCTCAGCGTGACCAAATCTTGTACGATTCCAGTGGACGTGGACGGCTTCAACGACTGCAAGATGATGCGCGTGCGCACCACTTCAAGCGGATATGCTGCCACCGTCGCGAGCATGCCAGCACAGGCGCCGCAGATCGCGCGATGGCTGTGGGCGGTCGTCACCATGTCCGGCGGGGATCCGTGCACGAGCGTTTCGAACACAAAGAACTTGACCCCGGCGTACGGCCCAAGCCGGCAACACCCCGCGAAATTGCCTTTCCAAAAGCCACGCAACCCATTCGTGTTGTATATGTGGCGGCACGTGTCTGCGATAGCCGACGGGCCATGCTGGACCTGCTTCTGCTTTTCCAGCTGAAGAAGGATCTTCAACACGTCCAGTGGGGACGTGCATGTACGCGTGACACAGCCGGCCACGATTCCAGCCACCACGGACGCTTGTCCAGATGGCAGTGGCGACGAAGCACTCGACGACGCAGACATTTTGCAGGGCTGCGAATGCCGTCAAGGTGGATTGGTCCAATTCTGTCAGTGTGTGGGACAACGTCTTCCCCCTCGTCCCAAGTGCCCTTCGCATTAACATGCAGGTTTTTGTTGGTGAGCATGCGCGCTTGTGTGCTGGCTTGTAAGTGCTGATGAGCCCCCCCCCAAATGGCGCGGCAGCGGTCGTTGGACGCATGGATGCGGTGCGTCGTATCTTGTCTCTCTGTCGGCTAGCATCGTTCTTGGTGCTACTTGGTGAAAGGCCATTGAACAGCCCCATCGACGTAACCCCACCTTGAATCACGCAGGTAAATGAGCATCCGTCCAACGGTCCAACGGTGTTGACCTGCAGAGCCGAGAGGAGGGAGCAAGCGAACAGTGCGCCCCCACCCTGGCGGAAGCGGATACATGGCAGCTCCGACTATTCACAGCTGCGGCAACCGATCGACGCAGCGTCCTGAGTTCGTCGCCAATCAGTCGTCGACAACAACGAAGTGCTTTGACTCAACGCAGTTCCTCCATGGATTTGCCTACATCCGCTGAAAGAGCTGATGGTTGTACGCGACGATATCCTCAGCACGCTTTCACGTGTTACTGAAGGCCAGATCACCTTGGCGCGGTATTCGCCCGGGTTATTCCACACCAGTCCTTGCGGCAGCTGCGCCAGTTGTATCGCGCAAGGAGATGTGGACACCTTGGCACAGAAATTTTCGTTGGGAAAGGTGGCGTCTGCCAAATCCGCGAGCTATCCATTCTGGGTCGCAGTCGGTTGTAGAACACGCAGGCTTGGTGCACCATTCTACTGATGCCCCAGTCAGTGGGCGAGGGCGTTGACCCATTCATCGTGGTGTGAGTGCTTCATTTCGTAGATGCGGTCGATTCGAGCCCAATCCCTCTGGCAATGATGCCGTGTGATGCCCCACAACATCCTGTGTCCCCTTCACTCCCAAAGCATGTGGCGTGTGCATTCGAATAGCCAGCAGCCCCACCTGAAAACGTCTCCGCAATGCCCAGGTAGCCCCTTCAACCAGCTAAACGCTCAACCATATCGCAAGAATCCACCGTCCATGTCGTTGCATTGGACGCAAAGGATGTGTCACCCTAGCGAAAGCCACACACATATGCATCATCTTCGCTCCTTTCAACGCCTGCACATGCTTTCGGATGTATATCATGAACACGTACACAGCACAGGACATCTCTATTGCCTGCATAGTAGGCGAATTCGAGTTGTACTTGATGGAGCGGATAGGTAAGGTAGGAGGGCGAGGAACAAAGAGCTCCAGGTACGAGGCGCGGCCATACCCACCGCGCGCCATTAGAAACTGCAGGTCCGTTTCGACGAGAAGACAAGTGAAGCCTTTGCACCATGCCTCGATCGCCCCCCCTCGCTTGGCACCCCTTGAGTCGCACTCGTCGTTACGCAAGGGTAGTTTTGGCAACGTGCGATGTGCAGGTGTCAGTCATCTTGGAGTGTCACAAAG